ATAAAAAAATAAAATAAAAAAAAAATAAATAAATAAAAAAAATAAAAAAAAAAATGCTAGAGCCGCAGTGAAGTAGAACTCAGCCAAATAAAGTTATGTAGCATCAAATCACCTGCGCAAACTCTGTTATGCTATATGCGTGTCCACGAATCAAACCTTTTCCATCATCTGCTTTGCTCTTCTGAAAAACATTCGTGTTATTTTTGCATACACTGTACACAGTATTTAATTTTATTCTTTTTTATAACAGCTTTTTTCGTCTTTTTTTAAAAACAAATATTATGACTGTCTTTCAACTTAAATTACTTTTTATTTTGATAGCTGAATTAATTTTGAAAAAAAACATACGTAAATAAGGCTGTTTATTAGAGCTCCCATTTGATGAGCGTTAAAAAGCAGCTTGTGCAGATCTTCTTTCATCCAGTAATCAATGTAAAATGTCTCAGTAACTCCGCCGGTCAAGTCCTCCATGATATCAACGACACATCGGTTAGGCAAAGCTTCATAAGTTCCCCATAACCTATGAGAAAAAAAGTGAATTACAAAAACAATGAATGCCAAATGCCTGATTCTTACTTTGCATATGCCTTCTCCAACAAAGCACTCCAAAATTCGTTTTTTTGCTCAGATCTCATAAATATTAGGCTACCGTTAAGAGTTGGTAAACGATCATCGATTACAACATCAACCCATTCACCAAAATGCCAAAACCGAAAATGGAAAATCCCTGAAAATACAGGAGAAGCTTTGACAACGACAGACTCTCTCTACTGTTCTGCTCAGAAAAAAATCTTTAACCATTGTTGTTTGTCAAGATGAAGAAAATGTTAACTGTATTACTGAGTTTTTTAGAAAGTAAAGGTTACGCTTAATGGTTAGGCTTAGCTTACATCAAACTCAGAGTAGTTTTTGTTAACTAAAAGTAAGTTTATATTTAGGTACCGCGTTGTATTAGCTAAATGTGCAACAGCAACACTTCAACATAACACTTATACAGATTACTTTATGTCAGAATCACACATTATGATTGAACGTTTTTTGAGTGATATTTTAGTAAATCTTTTCTTCATAAGAAACTTGGTCGTTTTTAAATTTCGTCTATTATTTAAAAAGAATCCCAAGAGCGGAATGCGCTTTATACAAGTTCAAAATCATTTTGTTACGTTTAGAAATTATGAAGTAATAAATGTTGTAAAACACCAATTACTCAAAATTCTAAAAAAAAATTTCTTTTTTACTTCAACAAAATATAGCGTAGTAAGAAATTAGCAGATTCTGCCTTTGGTTTTTCAAACCTAAAATTAGATTTTACCAACCGGAAAAGTTTTGAAAATCTAAGATATCAATTGAAATAAGTGCGGTGTTTAGCGTTGGCTTAACCTATACAGACATCAGCGATCATCGCTCCACTCAATTTAAACATTTACCTTTTTTTTAATAGCAGTAAAAGTCACAGGAATATTTTGGTATAGGTATAACCAATACAAATTTGATGTATGTGGCAAAAAATGTAGTTAGCTATTGCTTCAACAAACAAATACTTACCAGCATAGCCGTAACTGAAACTTTGGTCTAGCGGTACTACTCTTTCCAGTAAATCCGGTTGAAGAGTCAGGGTCGAAATAGATGCACATAAACAACAGTCATCCAGTTGACCCTGTTTTGCGTCAAATCGACTAAGACCTCCCACAACAAATTTGGGATTTGAAACAATTTCCTGCAAATTAAACAAACTGTATAATGTCGTAAAAAAAATTTAGCTGCGATTTATCAAACAAAACACATAATATTTGTTATTTTAAACAACTTATTATATAACAGTTCTTCTAATGTACATATGAAAAAATATTTTTTTTTTGATATTACACTGCGTTCTTGTAAAATTTGCGTGCTTACTGCATTCAGAAGTTATAACATTTGATGTCAAAGGTTTGATGAGGTAGATACGGATTACACCATTAAATTGAAACCCACTTATCATTGTAAAGCTGATTTAAAGTGATTTTAAAACTCGGCATTAGTAACGTATTTTTACATCAGTTATTTGAAACGTTGCATTTGCCTCTTTATTTTGGTTTGTTGGTATCAGTACATAGATACCAGGCTTACAACAATTAAAGAAAGTATGACTGATAAATTTAGGAGAAGTAGCTTCAGACTGAAAAACAGCTGTAAAAAAGTAGCGAAAAGTTGAGATAAAAATTAAAGCTGCCTCTGAAAAATAAATTAATGAGCTAAACGTTAACTAATTTAAAGTAATAAAACTCCAAAATACTAAAAAAAAAAAAATTGACAGTGACAGTAAGAATAGTTAAACGGTTCTGCAATTCCGTAATTTTTTGCTGCCACTTAATTCGTTGCAACTCACTCTTAAGAAAAAGTTAAATTAAAAACAATAAAACTTTTAATAGCGTCATACTGGTATTGTGTTGGTTTATAAAAGCTAATAATGTACAATATTTACTTATAGGCTTCTCTTATTCAAGAAAACTTATTTTAAAAAAAAATGGCATCTTGCAGTTTAAAAAAAACTTACTATCTGCAATTTCTTTTTATTGTGCAACCAGAAATTAATTCCTTAAATTGATCAGAAAGAAACTTTTATTGTTAGAAACTTCACAACTGAATTTTCTTATTTTATAGTTTCGTCTGCACCTAATTGTGATAGAAAAGAAGTCTCAATTCAAGCGGAAAATTTTTTACGATTTTATTGACTGGCAAAGGGGTGGCGCGTTCCCAACATTGCAAAGACCGTTCTCGATGGTTTGAAAATTTTAAGCTAAACTGTTACTTCTGATAAAAACTGCGTGTTATATGACATTTGAAAACGAGATAGGCGACAATTAAGTTTTACTCATTCTTTAGTCAAATGGTAGAAACTAGACATTCAGTAACTTTGAGTAATTACAGTTTAGTGAAAAATTTCCGGGAAAGATTCAAAGAAACATTTTGAGTTTTACTGGAAGTACTAAAGAACACTCCTGCGGAAGAGCAGCCTTCAGAATTAGAACATTTCAACAGGAATTTGAAAGTACGCTCTTAGGTGAATAGTTTATTATTATTGAGTAGCAAAGACATGCAAAATTTTTCAAATACTGTTAAAACATTAAAAAGCTTAAGTAAAAAAATATGCTGTTATTCGCTATTTTTTAAATTTAAATTTCTCTTTTATCATTTATCACTTTTATTTATCTGAGAAAAAATTGCAAAAAGTGAAGGCTTGTAAAAACTGTTTACAGCAATTTTTCAACTTCCCGACTTATAAATTTTAGTTTTACCAGATGTCAAAACAGTTTTTGTGTTCACAAATTTGTCATAAATTTAATAATTTTTTACTTGAGTAAGCAATTTTTAATGAAAAGTTGAACTGTTACAGCCACGCGGTAAATCTGTTTTGAGAGGAAAAAAAACTTGGTAGATTTTTGTAGGTCAACTTAATAAACAATTCATAAACAGAAGATTGTTAACAATAAAGTCTATGAATAGAGCAGAAGTGTCTAATGTAATTCAATTCTGCAATTATCTTTAAATTCCTTGATAAGCAACAACCCTCACAGGGCAGGTTCTTTTTTGCTTCTCTTTGAACCGTTTCAATGAAAGCTAGTAAACAATTAACAATTTCTGCTATAGTAAAAAAAATTTTTCACTATTTCTGCTAATCTCGCTCTGTTTTTTATTTTATTTTTTTGTTAGCTACTAAATCAACACTTGTTTCTTAGCAGTTGATGTTGCTTAACTAAAGAGAACTACATAAGAAACAAATGTTTTCTGTTTAAATACTTTTGTATACTGCAAAGTAATATAAAGCATTAAGTTGATCAAAAAATTTTTTTGATGCTACCTGTTGATGTGCAATTTTAGAGCGATAAATTTTTCTCAATCGTTTTCAGTAACTTTTTGACTGAATAAACAAAGATAAAAAAGAATAATCAAGTGTCATGGGAAAAACACTTACACCGGGTCTTAGCCATTGATAATCACTACGATTCAGGCGATAAGCCGACGGATGTGGCTCACCGGTCTGATACATCATAAATAAACTGTCGTTGTTGGCTGGAAATTCTGGATCTTCAAACAGTTTTCTGGAAACGTAATGACGGTTGCGTTCCTTTCGAAAATCGAGGCCATATCTTTGTGCACCGTGTTCATTGCAGGTAAATAAATTAATCTGAATAAAAACAACTGCTTGATATATGTGCATCGACCTTTGTTTTTTAAAAACTTCTTTCCTTCTTCTATAAGTAACTCACAGTGGTATAGAGAAAAAAATCTTTATTTTTATTTTTGTTTTTGTTTTTACTTTTATTTCTATTTTCATATTTATTTCTGTTTTTTTGGTTCACATATAACTCTGTTTAGCATTGGTGTGCTAAACCGACAGAACTGATATCACTGATTGTTGCTGTGTTAATGAGCATTTTTTGACTTTCACTATATTCGTCATTGGTAAGGCATGTCATTTGTACACATTAATCAAAAACGTTTTTACGAAATTATTTTGGATAACCACAGTTTTTTGGTGTAAAGAAAGAAGAAGAAAATGTTGAAAAAAAGCAAAATTTGTTGTGTTAAACTGTTTGGTTGCTACACATTTTGTTTGATTGTCGTTGTTATATTAAAAAAATTGTTTAAGACGAAAAACTATGAACTTTACGCAGCCCGGTTTCAACCACCAAAACAGTTAACTAAACTCCATCTAAAAGCAGTATAAAATTTTTTTTCTTCATAGCTTTGTAAATCAATAAAAAAAAATCGTTTTTTTTTACTTTACATTTTGATCATTATTATATCGCTTCAGTTGTCAGACTTGTCTAATAATATTACTATTACAATTAAGGTCTTCTTTCGGAGATGAAAGGAGGGAAGTAGAGGTGTTTTCAGATATGCTTGAATAAGAGCAAAACTGTAAATACTGTATCAATGATAGTCGAGGATACGACGAGTAATCTAAAAAAAAAAAAAGAACGAAGAAAGATTAGAAGCAGTCAGTTTTTTTTGATCAAATCTTTTACACTGGTTGCCAACAAAAATTTTTTGGTCAAGGCTTTTTTTAGATAACTTTTTGCTGTGAATGACTGATATGCTATAAAATAAAATTTGATTGTCTTTGTTAATAACAACAACAAATATCACCAATAATATCAGCAAAAGAAAGTGCTTATGTTTACTGAAAAAAAACTTTTTTTTTTCTTGTTCAAGTTTAAGACTGATGTTTTCTTTTATATACAAAACCAAATGTGTGTAAATGCAATAAAACCTTTTTTTTACAGTTTTTCAATGATAAACTGCCGTTTATTAAATAGCAATAAAAAAGCTGCAACAAAAAAAATTCACCTGTTGTTTCCCAGTTTTTAATAGAAAAAAAAAATTAAAATAAAATTCTTTTACAAGAAGAAAAAAAAAAATTCTTTTATTTAATTGTTAAACAATAAATTTTTTTATTTTACACCTTAATTAAGAATCATTTAAATGTGAAATCTTTTTTGCTTTTGTTATTGTTGTTACTTAGGAAAAAAAATATATATATATAACCTGTTACAAATTTTTTTTTTGGTAAATTTTATAGTTAATTAGAAAAATGTAACCTAAATTTATCACTGCACCGTATAGTTTTTTCATATTTTTAATAACTAAACGCTAAACTTTTGAATAGAACAAAAAATTTAACAGCTAATTACTGCGATTACTGAAAATGAAGCAAATCATTGAATTTTTGATCTGTTGTCGTCTGTCAGATAACTTCTATTTCGGTCGACAAATATTAGCAATTAGGAGAGAAGTTGCTCTTTTTTATTCAAAAAAACATTGTATCTTAAGTCAGCTTTCCCCTTAGCTTTTTTTTTAGTAAAGATTAAGAGAAAGAAAAAAAAGAAGGAATAACCGGCTTAGTGGTGTTGTTGTTGCTATAGTTGTTGTCAGCGGTATCAACAGTATTGATAGTATTAGTAGCTATACCAGTATTAGTAGCATTATTTGTATTAACAGTAGGTAGTAAAATAGTATTTGTTGTTGTAGTAGTAGTACCAATATCATTTGCAATCTCTATTGCAGTAATAAAATTTATAGTAATACTAATAATGATGATTATACTCATTGCAATAAATCTATAGCTTTTTTCTGAAGACAAATAACACTGAACAACAACAGCAGTATTCTGATCCATACAGTTTGTTGTGCCCGAGTTGTGTGTTCAACTAAACTGCTATGGAACAACAATGATCAAATATTTTTACTGATTGCTGTTTTCAACCTGTTTCTGTTCCTTAACCTTACCTTATGTTACTGCTTTACTTTTCTTTACTTCTCATTTTTTTTTTTGCTTTTTTTGCTCTTGATCTATGAAAACGATAGAGTATTGATGAACAAAACAAGGGAAAAAAAAGTATAAGACAGATTTTTTTCTTTCCATCCAAAAAAAAGATTGCTGCTTTCTTTCTTTCTTCTCTTTTTTTTTTTTACTTTTTCTTGAGCAAAACAAAATAACAAGAAGAAGAGAAGTGAAACTGAAGCAAAAATGGGGAAAAAAAAATGGGAGGAGAATAGAGGTGAAGAGAAGGAGTAAACTGCAGAATTTGTTTTTTTTTTTTTTT